TATATCATCTTCATTGGAGCTGTGATCAAATGAGAAGGGGAAAATGACCCCCAAAATATACGTCGGTTGTGAAAACTTTTATGGATAGTTGGGAAACGCAGAGCTAGTGTTCGTTGATCGGGCCTATAACGCCGTAAGGGGAGTGCGCAATAGTGAAGGGTATGCAGTGCTGTTGCAATCTCCTACATTATGCAGAACATCTACAAGATCTTTTGACTCAAACCATATGGAGTCCAGATTCGCATACCGCTAGTTTACAGCTCATAGAATTGCTCAAAACTTCTGCATCAAAGTTCTTTTTGAGGCATAGCACTAGGATTGCTAAGGGGCTACCTTGCAATGGATGGTTTGACTCCGAATGCAAGCTAGCAAGGGCAAGGTCTGTTGATAGGTCTTTGGATATTCAAAGTCGGCTTCTTTTGACAAGGATATACAAAGACTTGGTGAAGTCTAAGAAACGAGCTTTCTTAAGACGAAAGCAAGAATCCTTGACAAAGGACCTGATGAATGATCCCAAGTCCTTTTGGAGACGATTAGCTACACCATCGTCAAAACCTTCTCTTGATTCCGAGTCTTTGGTAGCTTTTGCCGAAAAGCTCTATTTCTTTCCAGAAGCCACATCTATGCCATATTGCGAAGCAACACCTGGATTATTTTCGGAAGGAGAGGTGATGACTATTCTCCGAAAATTAGCAAATGGCAAATGTGAGGATTTAGATGGCTTGTCCATTGAACTTATCAAGTGGGGAGGAGATTGTATTGGACCGGTTCTCACTAAGCTTTTGGAAGATGCTATGGTTCATGGTTTTCCATCAACTTGGTCCATGCGGAAGATTGTTCCTATTCATAAATCAGGAAGGAAGGACGTGGTGAGAAACTATCGCACCATCATGGTTGGTAGTGTTTTTGCCAAGTTGTTTGGGAAGTTGGTAGAATCGAAGTTGAGCACATGGACAGAGGATTTTCAGAAGAGAGCAAAGGCTCAAGCCGGTTTTCGTCCTACATACAACACTATTGACCATATTTTGGCCTTACGTGTTTTATGGGAGAAATCCAAGTGCAATGGGAAAGCTTTATTTTGTGCCTTCATCGATTTGAAGAAAGCTTTTGATATTGTTCCTCGAAAGCTTTTATGGGAAAGATTACAAGACATTGGAGTACCGGCTAATATACTCGGAGCTGTGGCCACTTTATACACTTCAGTTCAAGCTAAGATTGATGCCTCTCAGCCTCAAGAAATCTCGAGCACCATTGGAGTTATTCAAGGTTGTCCTCTCTCTCCTACTCTATTCGGAATATTCATAGATGATATAGAAAGATGGTTGGATGATTGTGAGAGTGAAGGAGTCAAACTTGGAGACTTTGTGATCAAAGCTCTTTTGTATGCAGATGATATCATATTACTAGCACGTGATGCAATTAGTTTACAGAAACACCTTGATACTTTGGCTAGCTTTTGTACTCGAAATCAGATGGAGATCAATCTGGAAAAATCAAAGATCATTCTTGTGGGCACTAGATCCAAGTTCTCTCTCTTTTACAAGGGACTAGAATTGGAACAAGTGAAGAGTTACAAATATTTAGGCATTGATTTTTCTCAGAATTATAGTCGGGCACTTTGTGTACAAAAGAGAGTAGAAGCTGGTTACAAAGCTCTATATTCATTGTTAAATCGATGTAGAGGAGCTCATCTAGTATCTTGGAGTCTTAGGAAATTTTTATTTAGGAGTTTAGTGTCGCCGGTGGTTTTATATGGGACACAAGTGTGAGGTCCTGGCAGTAAGAAGACAAGTTGGGAGCGTGTGGAGAGGGTGCAAAAGATCTTCTTACAAGAAGAGTTAGGTGTAATGAACCAAACTCCTTATGCTATTCTTCTTGCGGAAACAGGTTGTCTACCTCTTGAGGCTGAAGCTCTCTACTTGACCATCACTTATATTAGAAGGTTGAGATCTCTTGATGCTTCTCGACTTCCTCTTCATGCTTTGCGTGCCACACGTTCCAAGGGATGGTTTGCAGATGTGATGACTTGGTCTTTGAGGTGGAATGTGACGGAATTGGATTGGGATCTGCAAACTATGGCCCTTCGCGAGTGTATTAAGGAGGAGTTTCTCAACATCATTTGGAGGAGAGGAGGCACTAAAATGCAGTTCTATCAACTTCATGTGAATCCTATGCTTATTTATTGTGAGCAAGGGTACCTTGTTGCAGAGATCGCTACATCTTTACGTCATATTATTGCAAGGCATAGAACAGGATCTCATAGGCTTGGAATTGAGCAAGTACGTTGGTTGAATATTGATAGGAGTGAACGGATTTGTAGGCTATGTGATGAGAGAAATGTTGAGGATGAAGAGCATGTGTTTATTACTTGTACTAGATATATAGAGATTCGAGTGGCGCATAAAGTTGATGTCGAGAATTTCTTTTCTCTACTTCAACTCGAGCCTTATGATTTAGGTTGTTACATTAGAGATATTATTAGTTACCGTTCTAGTGCTTTGGGCACTAGCTAGGGGGTTCTTTTGGTTCTCTCCTAGTTTGGAGTTGGATTGTTTGTATTGTGTTTTTTAGCCTTTTGACCCTTTGGGTCCCACGGGCTTGATCTATTTACCATTTACCATTTACCATGTAAGATGGCTATATTGTGCAGTTACGATGTGAATACAATGACACCACAATGTCGTCATTCACCTCTCAAGTTCATCCAAGATGTTGCTACTCTCATGTCTGCACGGTTATGGCATTCGGTATATTATAATTTATATCGAATTACGTCTATCGAATTACATTTTTTGGGAACACATCCGATACGAGTATAGCAATCTGATGTTCAAGAAATTTTACTATCTCTCAACTTCCCGTGAGTAGCTTGATCAAACTATGAAAACAGCTATATGTGGAGTTCTCAAATTTAACGCTATGGTTTGTAAATAAAATATATCCATCACTCGTTTGCAACATTACAAAGACATCATTTTTTATGTGAAAAGTTACATATGATGATTGAATATTGATATCAGTTACTTTAATAGTAAGTTGTATCATCAATATTCAAGATTGTACCTCATCTTCGTATGAAATTTAACAATTAAAAACAAATTTACCTTCATTGTGAAGAATTAAAATCCTTTTCAATACTTTGAACTTATTTTATTTTTTAGATAAAATTTTGAAATACTGTGAATGAACATTATATTTACATGAAAACCCACATATGCAGATAATCGTCTCAGATGTGTGTTTTATATTTAATCCAAATGGAAGTCGGACAATCACAATTTAAAAATGTTCTGGATATATATGTGCAAAATGGATATTACTGGTCAGAAGAATCTTTCAAACTGTAAATGAACAATATAAATGGAAATTAAGGGGCTAGAACCCAAAAGTGTTGTTATGAAAAATGTCATACAGAACATACTATATCTTGACTATATCTTAATTAGTTATTATAATCTACAAACACACAACATTTATGTTGCATCATCCATTGTATTAATTGGACATTGATAAATAGTATGGGCTAGTATTCACTGTGGAGCAGCTAAAATATATTCTTTCAAATAACCTAGAAAATATGAGACACTTTGTTGCTAGATATAGTATAATTTTCGTCTTATATCTTACGAAATATTACATTACATATAGTTCCATATTATTCCAATGCCAAGAAAATAAAGATTTACCTCTCTATATACATGTACACAAATTTCCAAAACCTACATATTTTTATATTTTAAATACTCTGTCACAAGTAAGATAAATCATACCTACAACCGTAACCTCTTTCTCTCGATAGATAGATAGATAGATAGATATATATATATATACACACAATATTTTCACCTCCTTCAACACATACCAATAGCCACAATTAACAGCGATAAAAAACATCATATCTCCGAAGAAATTACATGTAACTGTACTATATAATCCAGGTATCCGAAACTATTTATGCTGGTTAAATAAATACCTCTTGAATGATGTAGAGGATGTTGGGTAAATAAGTTAACTCCCTCGCGTAACGACTTATTCAACCCGCCTGCGTCCCAAGAAATTTTATTCAAACTCTATGTATAAGCCTTCACAATAGTGGTTACGACTCAACCCACTCAACAATTACCTATGCGATGTTCGCGCATGTAAGTATTTTTCATTGTAGAATCGTTAAAGGAGTAAAGTAGACGGTGAATGGTGTAAACCATAATCACTTCCTTCGTGGCTAGCCTTTCTCGTAAACTCATAAAGCTTTCTGAAGTCATCAATGTCGTCAATGCCTGCTTCTAGTTAGGCCCGGCCCATCTTCCTCGATTTAGTGTCAGGGCTACTCTGAACCCCTTGTTGGCCCACCTTTGCTGTTGATTTGGACGATGCTCTTACACCATCCGTGCTTTACTCTTGATCCTCCGTTCTCTCGCTTCACGTTGGACCAGTCCCGATTGTGAGATGCAGCCTGGACGATTTTAGCCCTTTGTCTGATTTGAACCTTAAGTTTCACTTACCTACTACTGAAGTTCCAGTACAAGCGGGATATCAGTGTGAGATTTGTTGGTGCAAAAAGTTGAACAAACCGATCATAAAAACACGCAACCGAATCTTGAACTCATGAAAGAGTTGACAAAAGGTGGGAGTAATTCCGATACGGGATTAAACATGAAAAGTAAGACGCGAATTGCATAAGAACATGCGTACTTCCATGATATTTCTATGTACAATAGTTCCAACTCAGTAGGGAAGGTTCCCTATAGACTGGGTATAAGAATTATGTAGTACTCCGACAAATCAACCCCAGCTAGGTGACAGAAATAACAATTGCACGCTGGCAAAATAAAGTATCTTGTAAAAACTGCGACGGCAATCGAGAGTACTCGGAGCAAGACATTGCAGTTTCCATAGCGACGCAGTCCTCGGTCTGGAGCTCATACTCAAAATGTGCTTCACAAGTGGGGAAGAAGACCACACAGTTCTAGGGCCAATCTGAATCAGTAGGAATCTGAAGAGAGGCAAAAGCGCTGCTGCAAGCTGAAATTCCAATTATAGTACAAAACTAGTGAAACTAAAGATCTTTAGGCTGGACATACAAGTCAATGTCCTGCACTCCGTGTATAATGTTCTCAGATCCTTGCTATCCACATTAACTTTGATGAAAGGTGGTTATCCACCTTTCACACAATTTTTGCTACGACTCTACTCGTGCACGCAATGTGCATGCTTATTGAACTCATCGGTCCCCTGCACTACCCCTCAATGGCAAAGGCTTGCGCTTACCAGGTCACTCGCTATACAGGGCCAGGGATTGAAAAATAATGCTAGATACAAGAATCTACTTCAAGAAGTATGACAACTGTGAAGCCTGTAATCGGCTGTGACCTGTACACAGAATTCTCTCAGTAGAAAATGGGTTTGTGGAATTTGAATGTAAGATCTTTCTGCAGTGACAAAATTCGGGCTTATTCAAGATCGATAGCAGAAATAAGGTGGAAGATATAGGTTTGACAAGCTCACAAACCCATGGCTCTACGCGGGTGGAAGTTTGTTGAGCTCCACAGCCGGGGGTTGTCTCTCAGTTCTACTGAAATTAAGAGTTCCCCTGATTTCTCCCTCACGAGCAATTTGGATGTCAGAGGGCCAAAATCGCTGCTTCATGACTATAACACAAAACCGTGGTAACAACGCGATGGGGATGATGAGAACAAGATCCAGCCAAAACGCAACCTGCCCCATGATGTGCTTCATTGTCCTGCAAAACAAATTAACCACGTTTGGTAGAGAGTTAAGATATAGAATATTTAATTTTGCTTACATATATCCTCACAAAGCCTACATCCTTTGGTATCACAGAATCGTAAATGGATTGGATACATTAAACTGATCTGCACATCAGCACCCAAAAGAGAAGAAAACTAAAACGGAAAATACTTGGGTCCTTCAGCATGCTTACCCCAAATTCGGGAGGAAAGCCTCCACTGCTAGTGAATCAAGAACAAGCATTACGACGAAGGTTGCCACGATAGAACCCCAGATCGATGCGTGGGCAAGCCAGTTCCACCTTTGTACATCCATGGCCAGGTGTAAGTTGACTAAAAGCACCACCCCGAACGTCCATATACTCCCCAATCCGTAAAGATCGACATCACTCTGCCGATACGACATGTAGGGAACGTAGAAAAGTACCAAACTCTGCCATATTGTATCCAGCATGGTTATCCAAAATAGACGCTGGTTGTAGCTTTGTTCTCTCTGACCAGCGCCATATAGGGCCGGGAACTTGAACAAGGTCCTACTACTAAGATTCTTGTCCAAGGTTGCTACAACTATGGTGGGTATGGAAGTATATATCAGAGAATAGAAAACAAGACTCCAATCGGTGACAGCATTTTGAGGAGAAAATGCCGTGTATAAAATAAACCTGCAAAAGACGAAGTTCATCACCAAGCAAATTTATAAGATTATCGTTAAGCGACAACGCACAAATTTCAGCACGGCTGAGCTAGGGCGCGGGCTCTACATCCTTCACGCAAAGACAGTCTGGATGAGAAAGATATGATCACAATATGATAGTTAATAACGAACGAACTGCAGCCAGAAACTTAAATAAGATATGCACGTGAACTCACCAAAAGAGCATGAGCACGAACACTGCATTCCGATAGAAGTTGTAAAGAATCATATAGCTAAGTCGCTGATAATTCCAGTGTCCATGCACGAGCAGTAGACGTTTTAAGAATCTAAATTGGCCCATTGAGAAGTCTGACGCCATAACTGCTTGCCGCCCTTCTTGGCCACTAAGTCCTACACCTACATCTGCCATTTGTATCATAGATACGTCGTTCGCCCCTACAGCATTCAGAATACTTAATCAGTTGGTGCGAAAAATGCTGTCAGATACGAAAGGTCAAATGTCAAAGTGTTTCTTCTAAGAACAAAACCCTCTGAAAAAAAATTCTGTCCTAGATAAAAGGGTTCAGATTTAGAAGAAACTTGAGCAAAATGAGAAAATTACTCACCATCACCGATAGCTAATGTGAGTTCTCCAGTTTTACTCTTAATGAGATTGACTACAGCCGCCTTTTGCAAAGGTGCCACTCTGCAGCAGATGACCACTTTACACGCCCGTGCAACTTCGAAGAGCTGTAATAACATGCAACACAATGTCAAATCAATCACATTATTCATACAAAGGTGATGAGTAGCTTCAGCGAGAGTCCGGACTATCATCAATACGCACTAAGATACAATCTTTCTTCAAACACACAACACATCTATGTACTTATGTATGGAAGAATCGAATGTGTTCAGTGATTCTATGATAAGATTGACTAGGTACCCAAGGGCCAACTAAAATACAGAGCAACTGTTGCATGACAGTAGACAAATAGCACGCCCCATATAGGAGAACATCAAACTCAAACAGCAAAAGAGAAGTAAACATACCTCCTGTTCCACGTCTGGATGGAGAGCATGAACCAGGCTGTTGCCATCGATTATCAAAGCTAATTGTTTTCGCGAGTTGTTCTTGTCCGCCAAAAGATTATCGCCAAAAGATGAGAAAGACCCATTCATATTGTCGTAACTCCCACTATATCTATGAGAGCTGTCACCGTTTCCAGACTTTGTAGAGCCTCCATTCTGTATAGAATGCTCATCTTGCTCTGCAGAAATACCATATTTTGCTTTCATGCTTACAAGAGTCTCTAAAGCGCCCTCTTTGGTAGACTCATGCACTATAAGTTTGTGCATGTCGTGTGTGAGCAATCTGCATGAGTATCCAATTGATATTGCTGTCTCCTGCTTGTCACCGGTCAAAACCCATACCTTGATTCCAGCCTCTCTTAGTAAAGCGATGGTCTCAGGAACTCCATCCTGTAATCTGTCTTCAATTGCAGTGGCTCCGAGCAGAGTAAGTGAAGTTTCCACCATTTGTGAAGTATCTCGTAAGAGCCCGGCCCTATTATGAAGATCAGTACTGGCTATATCGTACTTGTAACGCCAGTTTTCAAACAACTTGGAATCAAGCTCTCTTGATGCAATTACAAGAGTCCGCAACCCTTTCCTGGAGTAGCTTTCCAGGTGCTGATTCGTTATACCAACAATACCAGTATGCACTTCAGACTGCGAAATCTCATCATCCTCTGTCTTCACTATGTCCATCACAGCATTGTCGGCACCTTTCACAAAGAGCTTGATGGTCCCATCAGGCATTCGGATGATCACAGACATGCGTTTGCGAACACTGTCGAACTCGTGAACTCCAAGGATCTGATACCTATATACAAAAAATAAGAATACACTAACAAAATTATTGGTGCTGTACCAAATAAATGAACAAAATGAAAAGCGCCACTCACGACTTCAAGCATTAACCCCGGCTAAATCCACGTTACCGTGACTATTCAACATCCCCTCGGACCTCAAGTACTTGTAAATCAAGACCACACAAGGAGGAAGACTGCAGTACCTCTTAGGCTTGCCCATAACATTTATCAAAATATTGTCAAAATTTCTCTCGAGCAGGACATAGCCGTAAGATGCGGCTGCTGCAACAAGAGCTTGTTCATCAGGAGATTCACCCTGGTATTCGATGAATCCAGAAAGTCCAGGACCTGAGTCATTGGATGCTGCTTTCATCGTTATTTCACCGTTGGCTGCCAACTGCACTCTAGTCGGGACTACTGTATTGCATGCAGCCAGCACAAGCATATACTCGTGAGCTGCCTTACTCTCGGCAGTGTCGGCAGGACCTTGGAGCAGCCTAAAAAGCTGTGGATCGACTTTGGCACCTACTTTTGGTTTCCACTTCTGATCTCCAAGGACAACTGCGAAGAAATAGAGATTCTCAGAATAAAGACAAAGCCTTTCCCCCAAACGAAAGATATAAGCTACACAACGTCTACACCTCGAGTGAACAATGTGATTACTTGGATGTAAATCACTAAGACGAAAGCTTAGGGATTCACGTCCAAGTACTCACATTAATCACGCTAGATAATCATAATTACTAGTCAATATTGGATATCATGGTTCTTGACGTCTAAAATGCATAGTTATCATGAACAAAGGTTCCCAATGTCCCTAAATGTGAACAATTGTCCATCTTTTCCAAGTTACAAATAGAACGCAGTAAAGCAATTCGTCAGATCTAATCGCACCGAACGCATGAAACTCACAAAAAAACTCAAAAAGGTCAAACAAAATCAAACATGTGCTTATACCCTTGATGACTAACCTGCATTGTCATCATGAGTGATCATGCCCTCACCAGCTCCTACTGGGTCTATAGTAACCTGCGCATTGTCGTAATCATATCCGAACACACTGGCAGAGTGAAACTCCATCTTGTTCTCGGTCAGGGTCCCTGTTTTGTCTGAGAAGACATACTTCACTTGCCCCAGATCCTCATTGATGTTCAGTGCACGGCACTGAAATCGCGAGTTGGAGGTACTATGAAACATTTCCATATCTCTGGTCATAAATCGTGACTGCCACAGGCGGACTAGCTCCAACGAGATGTACAGAGCAATGGGCACCATAACTTGGAACACGATAACACAACTCAGAAATGCGACCACCGCCTCCCCGAATACACCATAGTATCTATAGTCTTCATTATCTTCAAAATCCTTCTTCCTGTAATATGGTAAAGTGTTGAGATCATCATGATGAGCTTGAACCCAAACTCCCATTCCGATACCTCCAACGGAGCAGAGTACCAAGAGGAAAATCACCAACCACATTGTCTCCCGATTCATTTGCCGCTCCAGTCTACTTCTTTTCGATTGGGCTCCTGAATTATTGAGCATGGCCTTGGTTTCTTTCCCAGCATATACAACTACTCCAATTATCCAGGACGTGTTTTTCAGCTCACAACCTCTGAGGATAATGTTATTGGGCCCTAATGGTATATGCGTGCCGTGAAGATCTAGGTAGGCCTGAAACTCGTAGATATTTCGGTTAGGCAACTCACAGATGAGTGTCACACCAACAGCTTCGTCCTCTGGATTTTTTGTCGCAGTTTCCTGCTTTGCGTATCTGGTTTTGAGGTTGGATTCACCATCGAGATTCATTGTCTCAACGTATGCCAAACCACTGGCTTCGCTGGTAGCCCAGAGCACCATGTCGGCAGCGACAATTTGATTGGCAAGAACTTTAACCATCTCTCCAACTTTGATATGCTTCCACTTCTTTGGCGTAAACGAAACTCCATCAAACACCAACGAAGTCCTATTATTCTCCTCCATGTCTGATCGGTGTCGAGCCCAGTCCTCGTAGGCATCCTTCAGGGCTGTGGCAATGAGGACAAAAGCGAGAGGAAAAATTGATGCCGTTCTTCCGAACACAGCAAGGGCAGGAATTTGATTGAGAGCAACGATAATTAAGAAGTAAATGTAGGCTACCCTCTGAAACTGCTCAAAGAGGTTGCGAGGAAGGAAGGTCAAAAGGGTGTACTTGCTGGTGCGCACTTTATTCCCTGCTACGGAATCTGCTGTACTTCTGCTGGAATCATTTACAAACACTACCCTGGTGGTTCTCGGGTCCTCCTTCAAACCAGCCCTTCGAGAACCTGCTATTGATCCGCTGAAAGCCTCCTTGCTTACATCCTCGCCAGAATGATGAACTGGTGACCCTGGTTCCCCTTTCTCCTCTTTGTGAGAGGACACGACTCTTCTGTGCTTCTTGGGATGCTCTCCATCACTGGGATTAGAAGGAATAACTGGAGGACGACGAGATTGTATCGATCCTTGAAAGACTTCAGAATTTGGATCAACCACACTGGGAGTCGGAGCAGCAGGAGTTAAGAGGCCAGCTGGAGAAGGGGCAAGGAGGAAACGTGCACTGGTAGACATTCTCACGTAAAGGACCTAGTCTCTGATCGTATGACTTTGATTACAAAGTTTTTTTTAATCGCATCTGCGAACTAAACAAAAGTGGACAACTGAGTACCAAGAATATTTCAAAACTCTTCAGACAAGGTGTTTCTTCAGACTCTTTGGATATGGTTCTCCAAAATTCTACGGAAGATGGAAGCACGTTACAGGCAAGAGTTCGCTGCCAGCTGCCCTGTCCTCCTTGTCCAGCGGACAGAACGCTCATCCCGTTCGACCTACCAACTACATAACAGGTTCCTGACGTATGGACATTGAAGTAGTGTCTACTTTCTTCGCCTCTGTTCGAGGCCTTAGAACCACGGAAACCAAACTTTGATGGCACGCTTGAGGTCTTTTCTGCGCCATGTCCTCATATTAGCCGCCAAACCTGTTCACAAGGGAATTCCATCCGTCGTCCACCAAAACCTTGCGGTAAACCTCTTGCCAAAGACAACGTGAATCCGCTTTTGTCAGCCTTGATGGCAACAAATCTACGAACTCCAGTGTCAATCTCTAGACCAACACCACCCGAATTCCTCTGCTTCCGCCTACTCACCTCATCAAAATCTGCAACTACTCTGCGCAAGCTGTGCAGGCTGAAAGAAGGACCAGCATTTCAGCTTCCTCCGCCTCAAATCTGAGCCAACATCTTGTAGTTCAGTCCATTTTCCGCCTTTATCCTGATCCTCGAAGGTGATCTCGAAGGACCTGCGGTGTCACGAGGGAGGGAGCTTAAGATCAAATTCAAACTTCTACGTCCTAGTCCACATGCTCGCAACAATCGCCCGGATCCTCTTCTATAGCAAGAAAGAACGCCGTCGACAAGCAAAATCGTGAAATTCTCGACGACGGTACAATGCAGCAGATACAACAGGTAAATTTCGCACGTCTCTCCTGAAACGTGGGCCCTGCTTAATCTCCAAATCAACTTCAGCCCCTATTTTCAACAAGAGGAAGAGCAATCCGTCGACATCCACAAACTACGAAACACTCTGCCCAAAATGCAAAGGCTGACAGCAAAGGAACTTCACCCTACATGTCTTATCCAAAGCGCTCACATGGAGCCGCAAGGAATTGGTCGGCTTGACCAACTCCCGCTGCGATCAGACCTCAACACCTCAACCCCCAAACGCAAGTCAAATCCCGTGGTCACGTTCCTCCCTCCCGCTCCCGCTCGTCATGTCCCTCTGAAGAACGCGCCGCGATGTCAATGACAAAGCCAATTACAAGTCCAGGTCGGTTTCTCCTGCCTGCCTCACTGCCTTCGACAAAATCGCCCCCAGTCAATGCTCGCGGGAAAACTACAGGTAATGCCGTGTCGGAGACCAGACCTCCCGATCCGATCTGACCTCCCCCGTTATCGGGCCCTTCTAATTCCCGAGAGATTGATTGCCCTGCTCGCCTCAAACAACCAATCTCTCGCCTGCTGGACTTCTTTCTTTCTTTCTTCTTCTTCTGCAAGTCTGTCGGCAGAGACCGAGCATTCGCCACTCGACTCTCTCTCACTTTCACTTTCACCGCGACATTCCCGAAATCTGCAATCAAGAAAGCGGAGCTCGAGCTCCGGGCCCAGCGCTCGGGCGCAGGTGGTAAAAGACGAAGAAGACGACGACGACGAGCGACGACGAGGAGCGCAGACCGGGTCCCAAGGGAGGAAGTGGCCTCGGAATGCAGAAGCCCGGAGTCCAGTCACCAGTGACACCATTCGCATCCGGCGGTCAGCACCTCTGGCTGACCGCCAACTCGGATCGCGTGCCCTCTAATGAATGGACGGACCTCCACCACCACCTCGCATGCCCACGTCAGACCCCCAGCACCTCGACCCATTCGCCTCGCAGCTTCTTTACGCGCGAATCGGGTTCAAGAAACCACGGAGGCGAGGCCCGCCGAGCCGGTCATCCGGTCGACGGCCACCGGCGATGGGATGCGAGGCTTGGTGAGCTGCCCGGCGATCGAGCGGTCGAGCAGGGCTCCTACGCTCGAGGCGATCCACGCGCCGGACCCGGCGCAACAGAAGGAAGGGTCTAGAACCTCTCGGAGGGTCCTTCGTGAGACATGTCGGCTGACGACGGCTGCCCTCCCTGGAGCGAGCCGAGAAGCCAAATCTACTAAATTGAGGGTCGATGCCTTTTGATCCCAGAGCCTGGCATGTAATGATTCACTCTGCGTGACCATGACCGCAATTTGGATTCATGCTACACTATGTCTATGATTACGGGTCGATCAATAAAGCTTACATGGTTCGAATCACAGCAGTACACATTCATCGAATCAGCACACTTAGCAGACTACCAAATGGAATGATCTTATTCGAGTTTAGATGAGAGTTTGGATCTCTTGATCTTGGTTTGGATTAATGCTATATTTTATTTCTGGTATACATCTGTATATACGAAAATTTTGCATCGAACAAGTCGATCAATCGCAGCACATAAAGGACTTTATCATTCAATTATCGTTGTAAAACATTGAATGAGGAGTACATTACCCTCAAACTCTGTATGAAGCATGGTAGTGATTACAACGACTTGCTTCCTTCATTCCATCTATCCTGTGCATACTTGGTTTTGCATTCTGTCCTGCAGCCTACAACATCCACGTCAATCTGAGACATAATCCGTCTGTCCAAGTTATTTATATGGCTGCTTACTAATTCATTCCGCTCGTTATTAACATGAACTTGTGACTCGTTCCATTCGTTTACGGATCGTGACTTTCACAAAAGAACAATTATGGATTATTTGCATTTCTAAAAAAAATTAATTTAGATACTTTGAAGGTTATTGCCACACACACCGCCAATTCAGAACGACAAATAATAATTTCCAACAATATTTGATAAACCTATAACTAATGAAAATATTCTAAAAAAGAATACGATATCATTTATTAAAACGTTTGATACATTGATACTAATTATGACAAATTTGAAATTTAATATTTCGAAATCAAATATGTTTTTTTGAAATAAATTTATTGCATCACATATATCCACGTTGTTTTTCTCCATGAGAGATCTTTATGCTTATGATGTTTGTGATAGTCATATGAGAACTTGTCATCACATTCAAAATGACAACATGAATTTCAAGGTCAGCCATGTAGAAATCTACTAAGTGTAGAATAGTAACAAAGGGATGTGAAAGCAAAGTGCTGTTAAATAGTAATAGATGAATATTTTTACGACTTAATGAATGATATAATCAAAATCTTTAAGTCTAGCCTCTTACAAATAAAAAATAAAAGCAAATGTTCAAATTGCAAAAAATACCTTGAATTTTTAAAATGTACCTAACAGATTTAAAACTACAAATACATAAAAATTTGAGTTTTCAATCATGCATACAGAAATAAAAGTAAAATTTTTGTTGTATGTGATGTGAAAATCCAAATGATCTGTCATACGACGTAATACATAGTAAAAGATGTATCATTGACTCCCCAGCCTCTACATACATATTGAAGACTAATATACATTTAAGCACAAAGTGGAAAGATATCAGAGATGTTAAATATGAAAACACATCATCATATAAAAATGATGTTTTTTTTTACTCATTTTTCTGTAAGTATATAACTTATTCTATGTGATAATAATAGATGGAACATAAAGAGATAAAAATTATATCTTAGAAATTTGTGCAAATAATAATAAAAAATTACTGTATAAAAATAATAATTAGAGCAGTCATGCATGTTTGAAATTTCGCTAAGTGAACTTGTATTTAGAATAATACAATTTGAGTTAGTTGCGGTGTAAAATTTAGATAAATTGAAAATTAATCTAATCAATAAAAAAATTTCTACAACTAATTCTTATCAATTCTTTGCTGAATAGAAGTTGTGCTGAGTGAATACTTTGAGGATGCTTCATTTGTTTGTAGAAACGACAATTTTCTTCACAAATTTACAATTTATTATTTTTATTTTTGAGGTTATTACTATCAACAATTTAGTTGATAATCTTTTTTTTTTAAAAAATTTGGATAAATTTTCATCATAATATGAAAATAAATTATTTTCAAACTAAAAGCATATTTTTCACAATGCAATATTGAATCTATTTTTGACTCTATTATCTTTTCAAAATTTTTAAAATTTTCATCGGTGATCACTTAAAGTGTCTACTTATTCATTTCAATTTATTTATGCTCTAAACAGGTGCTTTTTTAATGTTTGACATATAATTTCAAAGCATTCATATCTCTTCTTTCATTTTTTTCATGACTTTTTATGTTCATATGTGGAACTCATAACTGATATTAATCTTTTATAAAGATGTTTCAAGACAAATATGAACTCAACTTTTTTCCAACTCATTACTACTAATTTATTTTTAATAGATTAGGAAGCCATGCATAGAGTTCACATCTTTGATTATTTGGCTTTGCTGTCTTTGGTTATCATACATCTTGCTATATTACTTGGTACTTCATTCTTTATGATTCTGGAAATGCATTCTAGAATTTGCATGAACATGCAAATTTTCAATAGATCTACGAGACACGAGAGCATATTATCTAAAGCGGAATGATTATCATAATTTGTTTCTACTATACATTTTATTGTAAACCATATGTACAACTACAGAAAAATTACTAATCAACGTCATAAGTATGAGGGTAATCACATTCAACTCTGTGGCCTTTATCAACTTTATTATCACATTAATTATTATTAAGTGATGTTCATATAGCTTATCAATCAGTTGGTTTAATAATTGAAATATAATAAATGCTGTATTATACATATATGCATATATAATTTTAATATAAGAGATATGTAACAAATATTTTTTTTAGAAAAACTCTTTTGAATATCAACTTTCTTATCATTGCTAAATTATATGACTAATGTCATATCAAGGTGATTATCTTGATATGCAATGAGTATGAATATGTTCCAACTTTTTTACAAAAATGTTTGTTGACAAGCTTATAAGAATTCAAAATAATTTTCTAACTTAAGTTCAAGATTTAATGATTAGAATTCTAAGTTGAAGTTGATTTTCATATATCATGTATTATTTCATATATATCTGATTGATGTAAAATTATAATTTTATTTTTTATTTAATCAAAATTTATAGGGAAGTGCTAGTTATCCCTTAGTTTAGGTTAATTATTCCTCACCCTTCTATAGCATACAGATATATCTATAGGTTAATTATACTTCACCCTACTATAGAATACAGATATATCTATAGGCTAATTATCCTTCACCCTACTATAGCATACAGATACATTTATAACTGGTTTAGTTTTCAAGTCAGAAAAAGAGAGAAATAGTGCACATTAGCCCAAATTGAGTTATAACTAACCACTCTCAATTTATAATTTGTACAATGATCACTTCTTGAATTCAAAAATTTAAGTTAAAGAAAAATTAGTATGATCTCATTTCACATAAAAATTACACTATTCGTTGTTTCATTCACTATCTCACACTCTCTATTTATCAAATCCTTCACAACGTTTGCATTACAATTGGCAGAGTAAGAACAGTGATTTTTTTTTTTAATGGTATAATTGAGAATTTACTATTATCCTACTTGGATCACATAGGAATCCTTAAGAACGGAAATGTGCTGTCTCATGACTGATCTTACTCTCCTGGTCTTGTAGAGGCTTTATGTTAGAATCGGCTGAAAAGTCTTAGTCCAAAGCCTACTTGATGTCATGCCCAATAAACACATTCTCAAGACTACTATTTCTCGTTTCATGAATATTACGTCGATAACAGGAGGATTAGATCCATATGCCAATTGACCGTTGTATGCAAGTGGCGTTGAAGACCATCGACCAATGTCCAACACTGATCTCAAACCAATTCAACCCTTTACGCTTGAATGGGCCTTACATGTTTCATGACAGTTTGTATCGGAATATTCTCTCAGGGCTCTCAGCGTTGAGTCTGCCAGAGAAGAATCTTGGATGTGGTTGCTTTAGTTCCACATTGATTGTCACTTGATTGTAGAAGGACTCGACTAAATCTCATTATTACTGGGGCATGGACCGAGTGCTCGGCTGATGTTGGACCTCAACAATAATACACCCCCCGGAGAAAAAGTCCACGAGAAAGAGTCCAATTCGACCAAATGTAGATAAGCTCGATTGAGAATTTCAACCCACAACTTTCATAGTTAGGCGTCCGATCAGATATGACACCGAACAGCCACCGCTGCTCCTTGTTGGACGCTGCCATGCGGAAAGATGGAGGCGACGCTGGTTGACTTGCGCAGTTTGCATGACTTTTCCCCATGGCCATGGTCATACACCGTTCTATATTTAGCGACCACGTTAACAGAGAAGCAAACATGACGCGAAGTTGCAAATGTCATCCACGACTCGACAAAATGCACAGCCACCACGAATTCCAATCATAACGTGGATTTCTGGAATCTTCTTCCCACTCCCTATTCTATCTTTCTGCTTGGGGCAATATTGAATCCATCTTACGCCAAGA